ATTTTTTTAAATTTCATTTTAGTTTCATAAATATTTAAAATTAATATATATGTGATTTTTAAATTAAGGAAGAATGAAAAGATGGCTCTAATCTATTTAGAAAAAGTTTGCTAAATTAATTCCACTTATAGAGAAATCCCTTTTTTATACCCATTAAAAATGGGAAATCAGTGTAAAATATTTTTGAGAAAATGTATATTATTTAGTATGTAGGATATAATATTTGAATGGAGCTCTGAGCTTAATTAGCTTTTACATCACCTGCGGCCAATATGCTACTTAAATACACATTTACAATATACATAAAATATATGCGTATCACATGCTCGCCAGTGAAGCACTTGTGCCACAGAAACCATAAAATCCACCCACTGTACAGAGTGAGAGAGAGAGAGAGAGAGAGAGAGAGAGAGAGAGAGAGAGAAGTGGTGTGAGGGGCGAGAGAGAGAGAGAGAGAAAAGTCTAATATTCGAAATGCCTGCGAGCAGAAGAGAGAGAGAGAGAGTTGGCATCGTTTAAGTAGCGAGCGCTTGAGTTGAGCCACTTTCAACTCAATTTTCGTGGGTAAATGGTGGAAAAGCGCCTTTAAAGCGAGCACACAGAAACGGAGACTGAGCAGGCGAAACGTCTCGGTTGGCAGTGCTAAACTGCAGCTGAAGCTGACAAAATATTTTGATTACTTTTGCACATTGGCAACACTTCAAAGTGTGCGAAGATAGCAAAAGGAGACGCGCTCGAGCATATTTTCAAAATAAATATTATTGTAGTAAAGTTGTCGGCGAATTTGTCGTAAATGATAAGGACACACACACACAGAGAGACAGACAGACAGAGCCAGCAGAGAGGAGTCACAATGACAGTGCTTGTCGTTGTCCGGGCCAGGCTGGCTTCTTGTTGCGGCTGCCTTGTCAAGTGCGGAAGTGCAGCCCCGGCGAGTGCCCGCCTGTTGATGACACTTTGATGTTTTGGTCAAAAAACTTGGCCGAAAAACAAGCAGTCGCTGCAACTTGGACTTTAGCTTAAATTAATATGCAAGCTAGCTCTATATCTGTATGTGTGTGTGTGTGTGTGTGTGTGTGTGCCTAAGAACTGGCTATAAACAGCAGCTGCCTGAGCTGGTGCTCCATATCTATAATATACAGCTCTTAAGAGCTGAGCGCATACACCATAATCAACAGTGCAAGGCCTGCGAACATCATTTGCTATCATAAAACTTGGCCAAAATGTTTGGCTCTCCTAGCCAGAGATACTATCCCAGTCCCCGTCCCAGTCCGGTTTTCCCAAAAATTGCGAGCTGTCTGCACTTAATGGAAAATGTCAGTTTGCCTGCAGCGTCAAACGTTTTATTGAAGTTTCCACTGAAGCGTCCAAGTTGCAAGTGGCCCCGGCCTTCGCTGCGCTACCTTCACTGACTCTTACATATATCCTTTAACATTTTTTTTTATTTCTCTCTTTCTCTCTCTCCTGTGGCCAGCAGAGCTATGCCCGTTAAATTTAACGAACCGGAAGCGCTAAAAGTGAAGCAGCTCCAAATAGCTTGAGCTGACAACAAAATGAGACAGAGCTAAAAAGAGATGTAGAGAGCGAGAGAGAGAGAGAGGGAGCATCTGTGGAACTGCTTGCTTGAACTCTTACAAGTGCGGAAATCTGATGATCTGATGAGCAAATTGCACTCACCAAACAGTCAGATGAAATATTATGTATTTTTAATGCGGCATTCAATTGTGTTTGGATTGTTGTTATGCGGATGAAACATCAAGTTTGCCCCCGCCAGCCGAGAAGTCGCTCAAGGATATTAGCTGCAAGCAGGAATTGAAAATTGACAGCACAGTTGGCAGATTATGAACTCTATGGGATTGAATGGAAGGAATTCAAATGGGAGGCGTGGCATGGCAGTGGCTTGTGGAAGTAGTTGTAAATGTAAAAGTTGCACGAAATGTATAAAACTTAGCTGAAATTTCAGCACTCGCAAAACTTTTTCAATAATTTATATTCAATTAAATTAATGGACAAGTTGAATTTCATTTATCTTAAATTTACACAAGGTTAATAAGCAGCTAAGTATATTTATTATAATATTTTAAAAATATTTCAAGTATTTTTTACATCAATAATTTCATATGTATGGATA